AAATTATTTCAGCATATCGATCGATCGATCGATATGCTGAAATAATTTCTTTTAAAAGATTGTGACCTCATAGAAAAAAGGAAGGAGTGTGAATATCTATAAAAGGAAAGTTGCCTGAAATATCCGTTTTATGGGCACACACTACCTGTTTTCTGCTGTACGTATTTTTTGGTATGCAGTCATTGCCTATTTTAACACTTAGGTCTTCATATAATAGTTAACATTTTCTTTAAATATACATCTACTACAAGGTCCCTGCCAGCTAAAATAACCTCTTTTCTGTTGGAATATTGGCCGCTTTCCAGTATAATTGCTGTTTGCACAATGACTTATTTTACTTACAGTAGATCTGCTCTCCTCTGCAGCCTTTTTCCATAAAATTAATATAAATATTTTTCAATTAATTATTGGAAAAAATAATGTTCTGGAACAGTGTGCCCTCTTACTTATTCATACTGTCATTTTGAACCCATGCGTGGCCATTTTGTATCTTGCCATTTCTATTTCATATTAACCAACTAATTTCTACCCATATATTTAACCATAGTTTATCAGTTTGTCTTTTAATATATATTTATATTTTATGGACACAAATAACTAGAAAGATTTTAAAGTGTACATTTAATGGTAATTGAAATTATCTTCTGAAAGTTCTTCTAACAAACTTTTTACATTGACTATGGTTTTATTTGTCTCAATCTTTAATGAATGTGTAGGACCACTGCCTCTTATCAAACCAGAATAGTTCTAAATAACCACCCACTTGCAACACTTATAGCTCTTATAGTTTGTGACAAGTCGGTTAAATCCAAAGTAGAAAACAAAATGCTTGGTCAGTGAGAAAAGGCACATTTCATATCTTAAAAAAAGCAGGCATGCTATTTCCAAAACTACAAGGGCAATTAACAGAGAGGAGAGAAATGATAAGCAGTTAGCAATATCACTTTTGTTACAACATTCGTGTTCTTAATATTCACTAAGGGGTGTGGACAAAGTTATGGTCATTACATTGGTTTTAACTCAGTTCTTTGCTTTTCAGGACAAATGGTTGCTTCATTCTGTGCTGATGCTGGTCCAGTCTTGGATCGAGCCTTTAACCTATATGCAGAATTCAATGGAACGGTACGATCATGCCCCCGATATGGTGCTCAACAAGACTAAGTGGGTGTCTGAAAAACTTTTCAGTCTGGAGCAAGGGGTGGTGGTTCTCATCAAAAAGGTAGGTTGTATATTTTTTGATTGCATTATTGTATGCAAACAATCACACACTGTGACGTAGGTGTGTATGGTCTCAGGATTTTCAATCCCTTGAATTTTTTAATTTGTTACATTACAACTTCCTTGCTACTGTATTTCATAATGATTTTGAATGAATAGACTAACATAGTTACAAAATCAAAATTAAACAGATTTTCCCCAAGTAGGAAAGATTTGGGTACCTGTTAGAGACATCCAGGCTCCAAACCTGCAGCTGTTACTGCAATGTAAGATGTTTTAATAAATTAACAACACAGGGAGGGGCTGAATACAATTTTTAAAACTATATGGAATTTTACTTTCATTTTGAAATTACCCAAAACCTTATGTAGGTCTGTAACTAAAATTTAGATGACATAGACTCATGGTTCTACCTGTTTTTGACATGTTTTTTTTTTACATGATTTAATTATAGATGCTGGATGAGACAACGCTGGTCACAGTTTACAGTGATCAAAATACAGTCCAGAATGATGTGCAGCCTGACGTGCTGGAATCTGTTATGCGGGACTACACCTTACTCGGTTGCTTCAAGAAAGATGCACATAAGATGGAGACTTTTCTCAAGCTTCTGAAGTGTCGTCAAACTGACAAATACAACTGTGCATAAAACATGAAGTGCCGCTTAAATAATGCAGTATTTAGCTTTAAATGAATTTCTGAGGTTAGGTTGTGCACTTAAAGATATGACCATGCCTGGGGCGCTTAAGCTGTGCTTGTAATGCAGCACATTTCATATTGATTGTTTTGGAACACCTTCACACAAAAATAAGTAGGTGTAATGCTGTGCCCTTTCTTTAACCATGTATTGCATTTTTAGATTTTTTTCCCTCCAACTCAGTTGGTATTTTAACCTGGCAAAGGGAAAAGGAGGCAAACTCCCAAAAGATCATTTGAGAGTCGAGCTGTCAAAAAAATCTGCATATCCTGCTATTGATTTCCATTTTCTTTGTTCTTAACCGGCGTTGGTATTCTACACTGGCTCTTGCAGTGTTTTGATTATACTGCTGGCCCCTGGAGTATTCAACCAGCCTCCCTTGTTGAATGGAGTGGGTTTCACTCCTGCACAAGAAAATGTACTGATTTTGCTTAAGAAGAGAGTCTCAGACAGCATGCTGTTTCTCTCTCCAACACTGTTTCATAAGATGATATATAAATATGAAAGATAGTTGCTATAAATTAACTAGCTGGTACAGCCAAAGACAGCTCCAATAGTCTTCTAAATGTTAGTCATTAAATGTTCCTGATACAATCAAATATACAATAGAAACATTTTGAGACATCCCAATATCTTTGAATTTCCATGTAATGAACAATTTGAGTTTCTGCTGTTTTGTGCTGAGCAAATAAATAGAAACTGAGAATAATTCTGATGTATAGATTAATGAAGTACTGTGAGCACCTCAGACATGAATTGATGTTGGTTTTAGAAGCAAATAAAGCAAGAAATAAAAGCATAATATATTGTTTCCTTTCATTTCAATGTGAATGAGTGAGTAATGGCAAATTTGAGTGCACTCTGTTTTAGACCCATACACAAGAAAATGAATGCAATGGTGGTGCCTGTGGTTTGGAGCACATGGAGTACTGACCCCTCAACAACCAATGCCTTGACAAACATTTGATATCTTAGCCTAGGTGAACTCATTCCCAGTAACACTAAGATAATGCAAATGTCTCATGGTAAAGGACTTTGAGATGAACATTAACCCACCCTACCTAGGGGAACGGATAATGATTTTTAAGCACTGCTACCATCATGGGGTAAAATGTAGAGGTTATAGACGAATGTAAATACCCTGGGGTTTAATTAGACAAAGACTCGACTGAAGGCTTTCTGCAAGAAATGATAGAGAACAAAGTTCTTGATGAAGCTTAGGGCCTTCCATTTGCAACAAGATGCTGCACGTCTTCTATGAGTTTTTAGTGGAGAATGTAATTTCTTCTGTTATCACCTGATGAGGTAGCAACATCAGAGCAAATGAACAAAGAGCTTCAACAATCTATGAAAAAGGCTGGCTCTGTTGCGGGACCTTTTTCTAGAACCTTCAATGGTAATTATACAAAGAACAATTTTTCAATAATTAAGAACATTGTAGAAAACACTGACAATCTTTAAATAGAATAGAGAATTGAAAATCCCTTCATTGTCCCACAATGGGGAAATTCATTGAAAGGTTTTATACAAAAATAGATTGTCTTTAGTCAAAGGCTTCTCCACATCCAATGTTAGATCATCTGCAGCTCGAACGGTTCATATCTTAAAAACTGAATTGTCTCTAAAAGGCCCCTTTAGATGAATTGTTGTGAATTGGCGCTATAGAGATAAACTAAATTGGATTCTACTTTAAGATTTAGGAGCAGTACCCATTTCGAGGAAGAACTGCTGCCTGCTATTTTATACCATTGTTATTTTTTGTGCCTCCAACTTCAGTGCACAGTTTGGTCTACAATATTTACATTTTATAAACCCTCATTCAATATGTGTCTTGTGTGTGCAAAAGTCTTACAAACTCTGCTCAAGCTGTGTTCACACACAGATTCATCTTTGCAATTGCTTAGATCCCTTTCTGTGCTTGCCCTCTGACATGGTGAAGTCAGCCGTGTGCTTGGGTGTCTCTGCCCTCTGGACTAAATTAACTATATGCTATATGTAGCTGAACAACACCATCAGCCAAGTGTCAAAGGGTTTTCAGGATTATCTATCTGTTTAATTTCCTGAGAAGTGATGCAACATTTTTCTTCTAAAGTAATCCCTTTGTATCCATAATTAATATTTCACTATTATACTTTAAATATTTGCATTGTACACAAATTGTTTTCAGTATTTCCTTATATATATATATATATATATATATATATATATATATATATATATACTGTATATATACAACACGCCACCTTTTTTCTCAGTAAATATTTTTCTAGAGTTGTTATTGATATGACATTTTAACCGGATGCCCTTAACAATCCATGCAGTCCACAAATACAGAAATCAGTTGGTAATAGCATTTTGACATTTCAAGCCTTATCTATTTATATATTTTTACAGGCATAACTGGAAGTTACGTATTTTCCAGAATATGTGCACCTCAATATAAGCCTTACCCACAAAGTAAAAAAAAAATTGCACATGTACAGAGTCAATGATTCTCACCAGGATAAAACCTGCAGATATCGACTGAAGTGGTTACCGGTAATTAGTTTAACTGAACAAAACTGAACTGATAATCTCAGTTTTTAAAAATAGTGCCTGTGCCATAAAATTAAAAGTGCTGATCAAACAAAACAGAAAAGTTATTGATTGGTTTATTTGTCTTCCTTCTGTGCCCTGAAACCACTGAAGTCATGTTCTTCAGTGTCAGAGTTGAACAGCATTTGGTGAAGGATCTTTCTCCACTCATCATCCAAGTATTCCTATCACTCCGAAGTGCTCCTTTAAACGCTCAATTAAAACTGTCCAGTGTTTGCAAAAACGTTGTTGTACCTCCAGGAATCACAGCAGGAACTGAGTTGGTTCCCTTGATTACTGCTTCCACTGAAACAGTGAAATGTGCCCTTATACTGTCCAAAACAAGCAACATTTTTTCCCGGTGAAAAAATCCTCTGGGGAGCTTCGTATAGCCCTCCTTTAAGCAGTCCATTGATAGGCTTTCATTTCTAGTATCAGGCCTTTCTGGTTGAGTCTAACCACATCGTCTTTAAAGAGTTGGTCTTTCGGCATAGTTTTGGGCTTAAAAATGACCATCTGAGGGAGTTTTTTTCAAGAGGAAAGCAGCCCAGGACATATGTGAAATGTGTGATTATGTACCCATCTTGTTTACAGTCCTGGTCAGAGGCAGATCAAATGTCACTGGCACTTTATACATATTTATAATGTCAGAAATTTGCAACTTTTTCCTGATAATCTAGGGGTAGTTGCTGACACATACTTGTCCACGCCCTGATGGACAGGCTCTTTCTCCTCATGAATCTGAAACACCAAGACGGTCCTCCTTTAAAATCGTCAATATTCATATCGCAGGTGACCAATTTGGCTTTCAAGGATACAATTTTATTCTCAATTCACACTCTTGGATTGATTTCTCTGCTGAGCAAAATCCTATTTGCTGCAGGAAGAGTATCACTTATTGTGTTAAATATGTTTTGAAAATCTCTATATAATGTATATAATAATAAAGTTCCATTGGTAAGAAATACAAACTTTCAAGCTTCGTATTTACTCCTGTTGCCGTTGTTTAATTGTGTTTTCTGTGTTCCATTTATGGGGGCTTCTCATATACTGTACATGTGCTCACACTTAACTCTGAGCTTACTTGACTTAGAGTTGAATTACCTTGTTGATATCACATGTTCTGAAATCAAAGAATAAAACTGAGGCAAATAGGTTTATGCAGGAAATCTGATCTCTACTCAGACTAAGTGAAGCCCGCTCTATAAATGGAGCACAGAGGGCTGCCGATGTGAGTCAGATGTTAGTAAAGAGTACCCGTGTGATGTGTTGTTGATTTCAAAGCAGGAAGCTGTTACAAGGCGGCCTGGTGTCAGCTCCTCAGTTTCAACTTCCTGTGGCGTGATCCCTTTTGCATATTAACACTTGGTAGCCCCTCCATTAAGCACTGTTTGCTGCAGTTTTTCATATTTGACCTTGAACCATTATCTCTGGTTACCAGAAACATCTGAAGTTTGAGGTAATAAACATAAAATATTGGCTATGAGTAGTGAGAGAGGGAAGACAGCGAATGGTGGACGGTGATGATTAGGAGGTGGAGTGAAAGATGTGAGTATGAAAGGGAATGAGTAGCTTGGTTTAACTTCATGTATAACAACTCTGGGTAAGGAAATCTAATCTCCAGGGATACTGTGAAGGCACACAAGGAGAGGCAGGGAAAAGGAACAGGATATGAAAAGACAATCAACAAGAAAACTAAGAAAACAGGGTCAGTTGTTTTGTTATTTGTTTTTTGCTTCTTTTTTTTTTTTTTGCTTAGCTGTGGGAAATTAAAATCAGCAGTGAATGAAAGAGAAAAAGCTAAGAAATCTGGGATCTATGCTCAGCTTTGAGCTGTACGACATGAGGGGAGGTACAGTAGAATGGATCCACAGAGAAAATGAATGGCTTGAAGGCAGATACACAGCTGTAGGAGCTAGGCATGGAAAGTACAGCTGCCTTGGTATAAAACCAATACTCAGGGCGTGAAGTCCTTGAGCGTCTATCAGCTTCTACAGCTCACACAATGATGTTCTACTTTCAGAGCTCAAAACACATGCCTGGAGAAACCTTAAAAATTCCCAAAGCCTCTATAAATTTAAACACACCTAAAATCATGAGGCAACATTTTCGTTAAATTGTATTGCTTATTTGTTTCTTTGATTTAGTTAGAAAATCAGACAATAGATCATCATTAGTCTCAATAAATGTCACCATAGGGGTCTTGCTTCTTTGCTCATGTGCTGTAGATTAACCAGTTGTGTTAGTATTAATACTGACTGTGTTATGATTTATATAATATATGGATTTATATATAGATGAAACAAAGCTCAGAAAAACAACTACAGGAGGAACTTTACTGTACATTTCAGTGAATCAGAGAGAAGGAGGATCATCAATCAAAAATAGAAAAAAATTGTGTCAGATAAGGTAAGAGGGGGAGAGAAAAGATGGTTTTATAAGATCAAAGAGGCAGCGGGTGAAATCATTATTGTATGAAGAAGCAGAGTGGAGAAATAACAAGACTAAGATATTTGACGTAGTGTACATAGTTGAACACTTTTTTAAACTATAAAAGTATAATACAGAAAATCTTGACAAATGTGATCAGAAAGAAATAATAGAACATGTTGTAATTTAGTCAGAATCAGAAAAAGTTTGGGGTATTAGGTTCTTCACACAGACAAACAGACATATAGTTGATACAGTCAAATAATTCTAATTCTAATATATATTACATTTTATGTTGTTTTTGTTACATTTTACATAAACTACAAATTACATTCACATTTAACCTCTTTTATGTGTAACATGTACATATAATGAACATTAAGAGACTGCAATTGGAAATGAATGTTTGAGAAACACAATTATTCTCATAGTTGACCCCTTAACAATAGCAGTCTAGCTCTGCCACTGCTTTAAAAGCACCTATAGCATCATATTTTTTGGCTTATGACTGTAAAAGCTGTCCACGTGCTGGGACTAAAGTTCTTGCTATGCCATCCCCTTTAAAATACACCAACCATTTTGAAAAAAAAGATAAGCTTGCAACTGCACATTAGTTATGCTACAACACACACTAAACCTAGGAAAGACAGTGATTAACCGAATCTGAGGCCCTTGTTATCCAAGCTGGAAAATTCTTTTTGATGAAATGTCTTCAGAAAACATGGACTCATATATTCTCTTTGGTCTGTGTTTAAGGAAGAATAATGAAAACAAATAACAACTAGTT